TGAACCAGGCCTTTGCCGTGCCCCCCCCCCCCACCCCCCTTCAAATCTGCTTAAAAGGTGTTTCAGCATGCAGACCTGCCTGTTTTCAGGTCTGCAAGGGTTTCTCTTAGTTCAATATAGAGGCAGATTAAAAAACACCAAGACCTCAAATAAAAACACTTTGGCTGTGTTTTTACAAAGTGTGTATATCTATATCTACATATATATATATATAGGGCAAGCCTTTTATTACTGTTAATTATGATACACTGAAGATATGTAAAGCCTTAAGGGGGAAATTTACAGCATGGAATATCCAAGATGTTAGTACTAAAAGTTTTTCCTTGACATGCTACAGCAGCACATGCAGAATTTTCAGTCTAGAGCACAGGTCTCTACATGTAACAGTGTGGGCTGTCCTCTACTCAGCTCTCCAAAAGTTCGGAGTGTCACAAAAGCTGAGGCAAAAGAGAAAAATTACAAAGCAATTCAATTTTCCCCTCTGGTAAGGATATCACTGCTTTCTGTGGTGATTAAGAAAAGAAGCAACACTGAATAACAATAACTACTTATTCCATGTTGCCAGCCAAGGCATAAAGGAGAAAAGTGTTTATAAAGTATGTTCTTTCCTGCTAAGATCATTCTTCATGCTGTCAGGGTTGGGGTTTTTTTAGCAAGATTTATCTTCTCAAAAACTGCCTTCTTTAGATTCATCCCATAACTATTTATTATTTATAGTGCAACAGTACTTAGATCTACACTGAGGTCTTTTTGCACTATACTGGAAAGCACATAAAGGTAATACCTGCCCCAGTTATGACTGTGATAAGAAAATAATTTCTTAAGAGCACTTCAACTCATGATTCCAGTTAAGCAAGGTCCTTGCTTGTAAATAATACTGTTAGGACAATAAGTATCCCCATTCCCCATTTACAGGAACAGGAAAAGGACAGAAGAAAGTTGTCTTCAAGACTACTTTAACAGGCTTATTATCAAAGATATCCCTTCTAGCAATAAGGAAGTAATTCACTCATATTAGACACAACACCACTACTACAATGAATACTGATGATGAAGAGTTTTATATGCTCTAACACAGTTTCACAGAAGATCTAAGGAAGAAGAATAGAAAATAGCAGATAATGTTAACAGACAGCAACTGCAGATTTCTCACTTGATTCCCAGCTTGAACTAGGAAAACTAGCATGCATGGTTTCATTAAGAAAAAAAATCCACTTTATTTTAGTTAAATAACCTAGCATCTGTTTACTAGCAAATGGCAGATCAACGCAATGCATACATAGGCCAAACAGATACTGGACAGTACCGAATTTCATGCACGATTGAGCTTGAATGTTTTCAAACTGATGACCTAGAAAATAAAAGCTCTGCATAACATTACTGCAAGTAAATCAAATCCAGTGCATATGCAATCCGGCAAGTCACTTATGTAAGCGACAAGATAACTGAAAAGAGTTACCTATGAATGTCTGTTGTGCCTGTGAATTTCCCCCTACCCTTGGGGAACACGAGTGAGGGTAGTTAGATGCATTAGCACCCATTTTCTTCAGTCACTCAGGCATTCCGCCTGCTGGCTCTTCAATGTATAATCCCATAATCCTTCACATCTTCAATCCCAGGTCCAGCATTCTGTTCCTCCATTTCTGAAGAACAAAAAGAGCAACAAATTTCTTCAGTTTGGGTTTGGGGGGTGGGTGGTTGGGGAGGGAGGGGCATTATGTGATTTAGATAAAATAAACTCAGCCTCCAGCACACAGTTATTTTCATAAGTTAAAACCTCAAACGTGTCCAAGATAGCTTTTTATTTGAAGAATAAAACCAAGAACAAAAATATTTTTTACCCCCAAAATAATTTGTAATTTTCCAAATCATTCACAAATCAGTATGATAAACTGCCACAAGTAACAGTATGGTTATTAAACTTTTAGCTATGAAATCTTCAAGTATGAGTTGGTCTGGACTAGACATGTTCCTTTAACTAAACTCAGACTTTTCATACATGCTATTATATTTACACACTTTTATAAAAACCCAAAATTTAATTATACTGCCTGAGAAAGCAAAATAAACCAGTCCTGTTGGAGATTATACCATCATCACTGCTTTCAGCTGCATTTTGATTTCATACCATTTATGTAGTTCTCATTCAGTCCTACTTTTCAAGTAGTACCTAGCTTAAGAATAGTAAAAATAAGGCATTTAAGCATTCATCTACTGTTTTATTAGGCATTTGAAAACATTTTGAGAAGTAAATTCTGAGGAAATTTCAACAAGGGTTCATTGCTAAGCATACAAACACATTCTAATTTATCCTATATTAGCAGTGTTAGGATATTAATACTGCAAAATTAAAATCACCACAATGAAGAGCTGCTTACTGACAATTAAACATGTGGGTCCCCACCCAAAACACAAACACACAGATGAGAAAGAGTGATACAAAGGTAAAGTCCACACTACGACTTTTTTAGACTCCATTCAATATTAACATGTAGCTAAATTCTATCATGTTGTCACTGGTGTACCTATATTTGCTATATGCTCCCAACTTTATCCCCTTTCTCAGTACACCTCTGGCATGTTAAATCAGACAAGTGCCATGCAAGAGTGTGCATTTCTAAGAAGTTGCAGCACTGTTCCAGTCTCTTCTCCCTGCTTTAATAATCTGTTTATTTTCGGCATGAGGAGTTCAGAAATGGGAGTTAGCGTGACACCGGGGAGGAGAGCTATGATTCTAAGTGGAGAGGCACACCTGGCCTCTTAGTCACAAATGCAGTATGCAAAGCAGATCCTGGGGAGCGGAAAGTGAGAGACAGGCCAGGGAAGAGAAGGCTCCAAACTGCTGTAGGCACAGGGGTGGGGGAGAACAAATGCCACAGGATTTGAGGGCTGGCTACATGAAAAGGAAGAATAGAGAAGGGTTTGGAAACCTGGCTTAGGGATGTGGGTACGTGAAAAGGTGAGACACAGGCATGGGAGTGAAGCATTATGGAAGTACGAGAGGGTAGGTGACTGCCAATCATCTGATGCCTTAGAACAAGGCTCCCAAAAATCAGAAATCAGGCCTTTTGGCATTTGTAGTCTATGACATCAGATGTATTCAAAAAGGAACCACAAAACCTCATGCTAGACATGACGTACAGGCAGAATCACTGCTCTAGAGAGCACACAGCCCAGGTCTGCCTCACACAGCTGCAGCCTGCTGACCACTATCTGAATTCTGCTAAGGCAGGAGACACAACCAGAAGAACACAGCAGCTTTGCTGGTATTATACAAGCCAAACTGAGCCAATCTACAGGCTTGCAAATGTAACAAGGGGGAGCTCCCATGCCTGCCCTCCCTAGCTAGGCAGCAATGTCTCCTCAATTACATATAACCTGATGCTTTTCTTGAACTTGTCTCTACACAGATTCATCTTCCTACACATCAGGAAGGAGAAAAATAAAATACTTTCCTACATGAATAGTGAGCCTGCTCAGAATGAAGTCAGACCCGGAGTACGTGCAAAATGGGCATCATCACACAGGCAGACAACAGCAAATCTCAGCAAACACAAGCTATTGGATCAGTTCAGTCTTAGCCAATACATGCACTCATTTTCTTCCTTGTGCAGAAATAAACCAGCTATTCTAAGATACCCAAATACATGTGGATGCAGACCTCTTCTCCATACATGAAAAGCTCCACTGATTTAAGAAACACTTAGAAAATAATTTCATTAAAACAGTGACACTCCAAGTGATTTGTGTACCCACACAGAATATGTTACTTAAATGTGCCATCCATTTCCACATAGAAGTAGTTACAATCAGTGCAAGCTTTGTAGAGGTAAGAGTCACCTTTCAGTTTGAATGCCAACTCTCTCATAAATAAAGGCCAGCATCCTGGGCAGATAGCCCAACAACTTCCCTTTTGTCAGCTAAAATTGGACTTGATTCATTTGGACAGAGTCCTGGAATAATGCCATTGCATCCCACTTTCCTCTTCTGCATTCAGCTGTGGTGTGATAACTTGTCTATTAGATGTCTACAAATACTTTTCGTTTCTTCCTGACATGGGAAAGAACCCAGGACCTAAGTAAAAGGGGGAGTTGGGGGGGGAGGTCTAGGGTGTTTTTGCTAGCAAGCACTAAATATACATAACCAAGTCTCAGGTTTGAAGTTAATACTTCCCACCTCCTTCCACTTTGCAACAAGCATGCCCCAGAAGATGGAAGGAATGTGATCAAGGAATACATGCAACTTGTGCAATACCATTATCATTCAGTGCTTGAATTTGCAAAACAACAGGATTTAAATAAACTGAAAAATGTAAACACTGTAAAGAGTTCCTAAAATACCTGATATATAAAATAATATATTATATAATAATATAATGTATTATTTTATATATATATAAAGCCAAACATGCCAGGCCTCAGTGAAGGAGGAATTCAATGCAGAGTAGGCACTGTGCTCAGCCATTTACAGATGCCAAGATTTCCCATGCCTCCTTTCAAACTGAACCATGTACTGGCTGACTTTTTGAGAGTATTTTGTATCTTGAATTCAAATACGTAGTTCGTAACAAAGTGTACTGTGCCCCATGGCTCAAAATTGATCATAACTTTAGTCCCACTACTGTCCTTAACCTCATGTATCAACTGAAAGTACAATCTTTGTAATTTTTATTACATCACTAAATTTTACAAGATAATATTGTATAAACCCGTATTTTGGAAATGCTGTATTTCCTAAACAATGTAAGCTGTCAGCAGTGATAAACTCTGTCCTGGAGGAAGTCATGTCTTCCTCTCTGCATTCTCATATCCACTTTCCCTAACTTGTTTGTTCTGACCCAAATATTCTGTGAACCAGATAAATCAACCCACATTAAAACCAACCTAGACAAAAAGTTTAAACAGTATCAGCTACTCTACTGGTTTGTTATGGCATCACATGAATACTTGTGCCAGCACAGGTGGAAAAGGAAAGAGGACCATGGAAACAAGCTTCTACAGCCAGGATTATATCTTTTGACAGCAAGGTGTACTTCAACCACTTATGGATTTGGGTGCTTTTTTTTTTGCTGGTGTCCACTTCAACCTCTACACTAAACCTAGTCTACCTGCACAGAAGTCAGTCTTGCATGTAAACTGCTGAGTCTACTACAAATGTAAATACATCTCAGTTACTGCATAAAATGCCAAATCAAGAATGCTGTTTCCCATGGGGAAAGACAGCTGTAGGAGGAGATGAACATAAAAATGAAGAAACAAACCCAAATCACAAAAAATTAGATGTTTAACTGCAAAAAGAAAGAGCTCCTCTCTCCTTGCAGAAGTTATCCTGCATACCAAAGGCTTCACTATTGCCGTTTAGCTGAAGAATTTTTTTAATCTCATTTTAGCCTCAGAGTAGTCATGGAATTTTTGTTTGCTTTTAAAAACTAGCATCAGGTAAACTTTTTCTTGCCTTTCTGTTACAAGTTTATATGCATCTACGTAAGCATTATCAAAAGGAAATTAATTCAACATCTGCTGACCTACTGAAGCAGGAACTCTTGCTGAGAGCAGTGACACACACACACAGATGTGCATTATGTATATTACATGTACACAGAAAAAAGTTAAACTATGTCAAAGCTTGTTTAAAAAAAGCCTGCACTGCAGAAATAGCATACAAAGTGTGTTACATGAAACCAGGAAGCTTTAGAAGGCAAAATTACCATCTCAAATACTACAAAAAGCACAGAAGAGACTTTCAGATTATACTGATACTGAGAGCAGAATAAAATTTAAAATAAACACAAATCTAGTTAAGAGTTTCAGTACCTGAAATAAGTTTCTCGGTCTTCTCAATACTTGTCACATTGAATCTAAAATCCTAAGAACCTAAGACGACTTGCATCTGAGGTGTCTGGGCTGACAGCCAGGACTTCCGGGATTGGGAGTTTTAAGAAAAAGTCTGTGTACAGAACAGACTTTGGGTAACAGTGACACTTTGTTTATAGTAATCACTCAATGCAAAGGTTTCATAAATTTTTCTGTAGTCCACTGGGATCCAATTAATATAAAGGACAAGGTGGTGAGCATTACAATGTGTTTTGCAACCAAAAACATTTGACTTCTTCCCCTCTAAAATTTTAAGAGCTTTTTTGTATTTCTTCTGGAGTTGTTGCCATAGCATTATGAAATAGCATAATACTAAGACCAAAGTAGGAAGTCCTATCAAGTACATGCACATACTTGTGCCAACATGACTTTTCAGGTTTTACATTTTACTTAACACATTTTAAATTTACTTCAAGTAAATGACAACACAAGTATCACAAGCATACCTTATTCATTTTTGCTTAGATTTTTATCTAGACCAAAATGCTATGCTATTTTGCCCCAACAGTTCCTTTCAAGTAGCAAGGAAGTAGAGCTGTAATACAAGATGAGATAACAATATCCAGCAGTAAATTAGAACATGGGAGGGGGAATTTTTTTTAAATCAGCTTTTAAAAATTAAAACCCCAATAAGGAAATACTTCAACTAAATTTTAGCAAGTACAAACCTATTTTCATAGAGATTAGGTAGATAAATAACTAAAAGATCAAGAACATGTGAGAACCAACCCCTGCCACTGTCGCCAAGGTACATCCCACCAACTTGCCTT